CTCCGTGAATGTGGCCGAAGTAAACTGTGCTTCGTTGACCGACACTAATGTTTCTGGGCAGCCGAACCTGCTGAAGATTTGTCGCAACCTCGAGACTGTTGCGCTGGTTATCGTGCTTCTCATGAGGGACACTTCGGGCCACTTGCTATAAGCATCAAGCACTATGAGAAAGTTCTGGCCATTGATTGGGCCTGGAAAATCGACATGAACACGGCTCCAAGGTTTGGTTGGTTTAGGCCACGAGTGGAGTTCAGGCTTCGGCGGAACCCTTGAAACGGTAGCGCAGTCGCCACAACTTCTAGCTAGCTGCTCCAGCTGTCTGTCCATAAACGGCCAATACACATAACTTCGGGCAAGGGCTTTTATTCGGTTGAGCCCTGGATGTCTTGCATGGAACTGCCGCATCAGTCTTTCTTGCAACGCCTGCGGGATGACTACTCTATCTGAGAACAGGACGCAATGGTTCACAATGGAGACCGAATATCTTCGCTGATAGAACTGCTGCATTTCGGCAGATGAACACGAACGTGGCCAGTTGATTCTGTGGAAGTGTGTCACCTTATTCAGGATTGGGTCTCTATGCGTTTCGGCCCGCACAGCATCGGCCATAACTGGCAGACCAAGTAGTGTCTCACTCATCAGGAATTTGACATCAGGTTCGATCTCAACTGAGGCAATGACGGTGTCCTCGTGTTCTTGTTGCTGAGAATCAATGAGGCGTGACAACGCATCTGCCTGGTCCATTGAATCCGTTGACTGATAACGTATTTCAAAATCATAGCCCAGCAAGGTGAGTGCCCATGCTTGGAGTCGATTGGCTGTATAGGCAAGAATTCCCTTCTTCGAGCCGAAAATGGCCAGCAGCGGCTTGTGATCCGTCAAGAGTTTGAAGCGGCGACCATACAGCATCTTGTGAAATTTCTTCACAGCAAACACTATGGCCAATGCCTCCTTCTCGATCTGACTGTAGTTTCTTTCGGCTTTCGTCAGCGTCCTGGCGGCATGTGCGATCGCCTTCTGAGATCCATCTGGGAACGTATGGGAAACTACGGCACCGATCTCTAGACTCGATGCGTCTGTGGCAAAGACAAATTCCAGGGATGCATCAAAGTGAGTTAGGAGTAGGTCTGAAGCCAGCAATGACTTTACCCACTCGAACGCAGTCTGGCATTCTGGCGTCCAATTCCAGGTTTGGCCCTAGCTTAGCAACTTATTCAGCGGGGCACGCAGGCGATGCAGTTCAGGCAGAAAAGTGCTGTACTGACTGATTAGGCCACAGAATGAACGCAGCGATTGCAAGTCCGCAGGTGGGGGCATCTTTTGAATAGCTCGGATATTTTCTGGATCAGGGCAACGACTATCTTTTGAAAAAACGAAACCGAGAAACTTGATGGTTGTTGTAAAAAAGGTACACTTGTCTTCACGGCTACGGAAACCATATGACTGGATGCGTACAAGCACTTCAGCGAGCCGCTGAAATATTTCTTCTGCCGTCCAACCCATTAAAATGATATCATCCAGGCTCCAGAAACTCCCGCGAGCATGGTGTCCATCAGCTGCTGGAAGATGGCTGGTGTTTTCATTCCAAAAGGGAGGCGGTTGTACTGGTACAAGCCACGGTGAGTGTTGATGGTCAGTAATTCTTTCGAGCTTCCATCAACCTCGACCTTGAAGTAGGCATCGGACAAGTCGAGCTTGGCGAAACACTTCCCACCATTTAGCTTGGCAAAGATATCCTCTGGTATCGGAAGGGGGTATTGATGGTCGTCCAATGCGGCATTCAAGCCGGTCGAAAAATCGGCGCAGACTCGCACTTTACCGTTCGGCTTTTTCACAGCAACAATCGGCGCAGCCCATGAAGAGTAGTTCATTGGTGGGATGACACCGGCTAGTTCCAGTAGGTCGAGCTCCTGATCAACTGCTGCCATGGCTGCATACGGTACCGGTCTTTTTGCTCTGAAGACTGGCTTGGTTCCTCTGCGTAGGCACAACTTTGCTTTGAATTTGGTGCAGTGACCGAGACCATCTTCAAACAAGGCGGCAAACGTCTGCTTTAGCTTTTTTGTCATGTCTTCTATCGACAATGATGCATGGACTGGGTCGGTTTGTACTGTATTGCAAATCTGACTCATTGGAACATCAAACAGTTGTAATTTTTCCACCCAGTCAAGTCCAAGGAGGTTCAAGTTTGGTCGATCAGACAAGTAGCAGGTTCCGGCCTGTTGCACTTCGTTGAATGCAACTTTGCAATTCATTTCTCCGACCAGCTTCAGCACTCCACCGGATGCGTTGTGGGCGATTTTGTGGGAATCAACCATCTTCGGCTTCTTTATATGCTTCCAAGTGTTCTTGGAAATGATCGTTATACCTGGTGCCGTATCGAACTGCAGTCGGCGGCGTGTACTAGAATCGCTGTGAGACGTGGCCAGCATCCATAGTGATTCAGCGTCAGGCTACCTGAAGTTCTTCCTTCGGTAGGACTGTTTCATGTTTCTTGGCTGGGACTGATGACAAACGTCTTCCTTGTGATCGCGTTAATGGCACTTATAACAAATGTGACGCCTGAATGGACAGTATCGTGCGAAATGCCATTCACCACTTGACCAACAAGGTGTGGGCGGCTTGTTCGGCGTTCTGTTGAACGGTTTGTTCGAGCCAACCTTTCTTGCATTTTGCACAGCATGAACAGTATCGGCAATACTGGAGCGACTCTGCTCAATCATAGCGGTGTCGTGTTTCAAAGTAATCAACCGTTTGGATTCGCCTACAAAAGACTTCAATGTCAAATCTGGATATTGATCCAACTTAGCAAGGAGCCGAGTGCAAATTTCCGCGTCGCGTGGAGACTGTAAAGCACTGAAAAATATGAGACACTTATACTGATCATCCGTCAAACAGCGTAGCTTGAAACGTTCACATTCAGGGTTAACCATATCTGCTCGTGCCCCATAATCGTCTGTACCACGCTTAACAATTTTTAAACATTGGTAGCGAATGCTAAACAAAGACGTTGACTCACCAAAAATTTCTTTGAGTGTTGTCACCGCCACTTCGGCTCTTTGGGCAGGATGTGGTCAACAATGTTCATTAGGACCGAGCTTGCGGCGTAAAAGACGCACTTTCCATGAATCATCTTGACGGCGGAAATCCGTCCGGAACATGTCCTACAAGCGTTTGAACCACGCCTCGAAAGTACATTCGGAATCAGCATCATAATGAAATTCATTGATTGCATAGGAAACAGCCTGCTTGTCCCGTGTAGCTACTGCTTTTGACTGTACGTTCAAGCACTGCGTCAAACTTTCAATCAGTTTCATTTGTGCTTCCATCTGTGATTGTTGCTAAAGTAGCAACTTTCGAAAATGTTCGGCAGAAAAGTTTGTAATGTTTTCGTGTTTGTCTGTTGCCATTGTTAGATTTTCACTTTTCCTCGCTATTCCGAATTAAACATCCACAAAATTTCTCTGCAAAAATTCTAGCCAAGCCGAAGAAAATCAAAAGTCCAACGACCTTGACCACGGAAAACGTATTAACAAAAACACTGCCAACGTAGCTAAAAATGCCGCCAAAACGCTGTACACACTATGCCAGATGCACGCCAAATATATAGGGGGGCTCGATGACCTTCGGCTTCTAGAAAACGAAGGGCAACTGGCAAAATTAGCAGCCTCCCTGTCAATACTCCGTATGCTGGTGATCAGTGAGGGAATGGAAGGCTCGTGAACCTTCGAAATCAATGTGCGATCGAAGATAATCGATTAATTGATAAAATAATTGTTTTCCCTTATGTTTTTACCATTTCCCGAATACCTGTGGTGGCGCGCCGGTATTTTCTGCACCTCAACCGATCTAATCTTCGGTCTCCGCAATTCCATATCGCTCAAAGTGTGCTCTTCCATCGCAAGCGAGTACCGAGCTCTCGCCAAAACGGTTATCACGCCTTTCGTTCATTGCCAGGTACGTGGAGAAATCCTAGTAAATTACGTTTCGGTCATTTCCAACACTACCGATTGATCTCATCCGTGTTAGGCTTTTCCAGCTGGAGGAAACTGGAGGGAGGATTGGAGCCATGAGATGAATCGCGATTCACTGTGTCTCATTCTAAGCACAGCAGCCAAAAACCGGACAATGAACCCTAGACGATGACCTGCATTTTCCAGTCTCAGATTCAGAAAACTTAACTTACTCCACAACTCAGGAATCAATGACGGCATGCGAGAAAGGAATAGACGGCCACATCACATGTCCTGACCTGTCAGTATTACAAGGCACAGTACTTGTGGACGTATCCTCAAATACACAGGCAGAGTATAACTTTGGGTTAGAAGATCGCCGACTGCAAAAGTGAACGAGTTGACAGTAAATTTCCCGATAAACGAAACAAACCCGCGAGGGAAACTTTGCAAATAGTAATTGAGGCTTATGGTGAAGACTGCACGTCTCGTGCACGCGTTTCTGAATGGCAAGTGAGTTTCTGAGGGCAGACGAAGGGTGATAGTTGACGATCGTGCAGACCGTCCAAACACAGTTATTACCGATGACAACACTAGAAAACTGCGAGATGGGATTCGAAGAGACCGAAGACGAGGTTTTTAAGTCACTAGATGTTTTAGAAGTAGCGTTACATTAAAATATCGGCGAAATCGTGCTAACATGCGAGGAAACTACCGAAAACATAGAGAACCGAGTTGTGTCAGCTCACGTTTTAACCAAACCTCAAATACCTCCCTTAATCCCCAGACCACCGCCTGCGACTTCTGCCTTCACCTGACGAGCAAGTCGGAGTTCAAAGGAAGGTAGAAAGTGCGAAAGTAAAAACGATGAGATACTTGATGACCCTACGCAAACGATCTGTAGAATTGATTTCAATACTGGCAGCAACTTTTGCAGCCGTTTACAGATTCAGAAGCAAACCAGATTCATGCGGAACGTAGTTGACTTTCAGAGCTTTTTAAACAAAACAAGTTTTAGTCACAGACTTGTTTTTAAGACGTAACGCTGTAGATCTATCACTTTGGCCCTGGGACTGCTACTTGCGTTATCTGTAGCTGAGCGCAAATCAAAAGGATATTTGCATGACGTTTTATTGAGGGTTGTTTGGTGATATTTACACAAAGTGAGTGCACATAGATGGAATACATTCCCAGGGATCAATATTAACAATGAGGATGATGGTTTACGAAGCGATTTCATCTTAGAATATTCTTAAGGTAACACAAGATCTGATTAGCTGCTTCTCGACAAGAACCATTGATGAACGCTATTTTCATCACCAGAGGTAGTTGCGGCTCGGAGGAATTCATGCTCTCGTCTTCAACATCAGCAGCCTCCGCACTGGGGCATGTATCGTTGAACTGCTGTTCGACGAACACATTGGCGTGTATTATCAGATCAGGCTGCTGAGAGGCGGCCAAATCTGAAGGTAACGACTCGTCATCTAGCCAGGCGTCACCTTCTTCACACAAATTGGCTACATGAAGGCGTTTGGCCTCTGTCGATGAGCTGAATGACTCTTCGGCGCAGGAAACGTCCCCACTATGTGCCTGCGCATCAGGATGTGGTCGCTTTAAGCCAACTGAGAGGTGTTCATTATCAGCTTTTATATTCTCTCCATTTTGCTTTCCAATGTCAACGCTGACATTCTCCGATTGAACGATATCACAGTCCATTCTCGGCTCCGGGTTCTGGCCTTGAGCTGCTAGTCTCTGAGCCTCCCGACGCTTGCGCCTGCTGTGGGTCCATGTGTTTTCTGTCGCCCAAATGGATAGATGGGTTCCGCCCATAGTGGCAGGATTCTTCTGATCCAAAACGCGCATCTGAAAGTGAATCGACAAGGTGTAGGGACTGTATAAGTAATGAGATAGGCGCAAATATGAGTTGAGCTTTGTGATGGTTCTAGGGAACTCAACTTTGGAACCAATGTCATGTTCCAGGTATCATTTACAAGCTGAGTTTTTCAGCCAAGCTGTCAAAGAGTGCCAGATTAAACATGGGAGTCTACAGACACTAATTTAGGTTTTACTTGTCATTGAATTTCCCAGAAACTTTGCACACGCTTTAGCAACAAACAACCTTGAAGCTGACAATGTGTTGTGTTCCGAGCCCCTGAGTGCGACGATTCAGTTGCAATGACGAACTACCACGAGGGAAAGGATAACAAGCGGGACAAGAAAAATACGGATGATGGGGCAAAGTATACAACTACGGATGTGGTCCATCCCAAGATCCCTGTCTCAACTGCCTAGAATTCATGCATTCATTTCATCGACCGGAATTTCTGGGGCGCAGTAACACGCAAGCTGACGGGCGCATCACTTATTTCCATGCGTCAATTGATCAATTTACAGGGAATGGTTTGGCACAGCCTGTTCCCAAAGTGCCGATCGTAGAAAGTATAGATGAAGTAGCTTTCGGGCGTTTATAGTGGTGAATTTTAAATAGCAGACAGAGCAAAAGGTTGCGGTGGCTAGAGACAGAATTATCGAGTAGCTAGTTGGACAAAATACATTGAAGATCATACCTTTAACTTTTTGAACTCGGTTCTCAGCCAGTTGATTACTGCATCAACGGAGTAGTCGGCGACACATGATAGAGTAGGGGGCAAGATCCAAGTCAAGGGTGGTTTTTCCAGTTTGCTTAGCCGGCGAAATTCAGATTCCTGGAGGAGGAGGAGATATAGTGAATAGTAATCGATTTTTAAACAGCTGAATGTAAAATGCTCGCTTATCCTATTAATTTGTTATGAGCTCTCAAGCGATAGGAACGGAGACAGTTAAGTAGTTAAGTAAACGTGCACGATTCTCGGTTTGAGCTCTAGAGTGGATCGTTCTATGTATGTAAGGACTACATCATCAGTTCGAGGTCCGCTGCAAAGCGCCTATGAGAATTTGAGCTAAAACGAAGAAAACGGGTTGACTAATTTATTTACATACATATTCCAAGGTTCATTTTAAACCAAGAAACACGCATAACAACTGCAACTTAAAGACAATTGAGTGAGTTGTTGGGACCCGCATGAGAATGACAGCAAAGCCGCAATGCCAATTCCACCGTGGGCTAGATGAGCTCTGTCGGATGTTGAGCTAACTGAACGTCGGGAGCCTTCTCTAAGTTAGTCTGAACATGCACCTCTGTGTTGATGGATGAAGTGTACAGACGCAACGAATGTAGTCGAGGCAGACAAGTAAGTGGTTTGTAAGGTGTGAATGTGAAGAAGGTAAACATGCAGTATATATACATAATACGCGTGTATATTTGATTGGCGGCATCTGTGTCCGGATTAGTCTGTCACTGTGGCCTCCATAAGACAGCCCAAGGACGCCTGCATCTACAGAGGGACCATTGGTAGCTTATGCTGCACTACTCACACACCCCATCTCCAGTGGATAGGAGGCACGTTTCATCAACGGAGCCGGCCCACACTGCTTCATCATACACAGCGGCAGTGTTACTGTTTGTCTAATTGGGGACTCACGCGTACCAAGCGTACACAAGGCCGTAGCCCGCTTTACAATGGATGCATGGAAACACCCGTTGAGGCTAGCAAGTTCCCGAAGACCATGTAATTCGTCCCCTCGAGCAACAACCAACTGTCTCCTGGATCCAGTATAATCGAAGTGGAAGATAATAGACAGGTAGGCACCTTGTCAGCATTCACAACAAGCGTAGTCAAGCATCGCATATCACACAGGAGGTTACGTATGTCAAGCGCACGCCTGACAAACGATCAGTCGATTTTAGCCCGATTGAGACAACAACGTACATCCTATGCTGCATCAACCTCGATCTGCACAGTGGCAGTTCCAATCTTGTATAATCACATACACCCACATGCACTTGTCTATGAACTACCACGAACTGAGTGAAAAAACATGAACCCACATGAACAGTGATCATACAAACGTGCATGGGTTGGGATTAGAGCAGGAGTCACTAAACGTTTTCCACGGTGGTCCGAATAAACAACAAAAATGACAACCGCGGGCCGGATTAGATTTTTGCACAATATTCGCAGACCAAAAGCGAAAATTGAGCAGAAAAAATAAGAAAACAAGCTCAGGATTCTATAATAAATATGGGTGAACGATGCGCAACCTACAAAACACGAAGATAAAAACATCTTTATTAACTAAAATGACCAACAGGGGTGACGTTCACACAAATATAGTTATCACAAAGATTTTGTGCACATATCCGGATGACACAAATTGAGAATGAAAACGATAAGCGAGATTTGTGAAAGGGAGATATAAATTTCAAAACATCGTCAATGTTTGGTCTGGAATGATTGAATTCAATTAACAAAAAGTGCTTTCCAATGTTCATCAGTCGGTCACGTTCGATGTGTTGACTGCACATACTTCATTTTGGAGAATGTTTGCTCATAGATATAACTTGTTCCAAACAATGATGCCATACCAGCGGCAAACATATTCAGACCCAGAAACACAACATTAGGTAAGCAGTGGTGAAATGCAGCAAGTTTTCCTTCCCTGTGTTTTCTTCACTCCAAAGCGTTTGTCTATAAGACAATCGGCTCAAACTTTAGTCCGAATGGAACATCATCCATGCTGTAGTCTAACGGACTATGGAACAAGATAATTTTACCTTCGAAGCTGTTAGGGTGTGAAGATCTCTCTAAAAATGTCTCTTCCAATCACGAATACTTATCCTCGGAAAATCAAGAAAGACATTTTCCAGGATCGTCACGAAAAGTTATTTGAAACGGTGAAAATAAGCAATATTGCTCCTTCAATTGTGCTGCAATGACAGCTTCTTCCGGAATCTGTTGACGATTCTGTGGAATTCACAGTTGAGATTCCCATTTCACTGGAGTTTCAAGTCCAGTTCATTCATGTGGGATGTGATGCCCATCATGAATGCTAACTTTGATAGCCAATTAGGATTAGATGGTTGTTGGTCAGCTCTATCTTTTACAGTGAGGAAAGCAGTTATGTGTCGTTTCAGAGCTTGTAAAAATGAAACAAGATTTTACCGTAACTGAGCCACCGCAATGATGTGGGATAAAACAAAGCACAGAATTCGGAATAAATATCTCCCATAAAAGATTGAAATTGACGGTGATTGAGGACATGTCTCCGAATGAAGTCAACGATGGAAGATATCGGTTTCTGAATATAAGAAATATCCAAGTCGTTCCAACAGAGTGCGAGTTGATGTAGGATACAGTGTATGAACACAACAATCGGAATGAGCGAGTCTTCTAACTGGGTCCTAACCAGCCGTAGCAGACCCTTCCTTACTCCAGCCACGTTTCTCCCTCCAACTGTTGTTACACATCGAAGTCGATTCAACGGAAGATAAGATACTTGCAAAACTTCGTGTAGTTCCACAAATATGTCCTTCCAAGCTATCGTTCTATGAAGGCTGCAGACGGATGCCCATGCTTCCATAAAGTGAAACTCTACATTGCCACCACGTACGAACACGAGAAGCTGTGACGTACTCGAGAGATCAGTAAACATATCCAGCGCCAAAGAGTTACACAAAAAGTTGTTACCTCCCTCTTATATCTGCAGTACTATGTCGCCTCAAGTGCTTTGGTTCCCCGTACAACTGAACTTGTCGAAAAACTGATGGTTGCAAACAAATCCGCTTTCTCAGGACACAATTCATGCATAACTTCCATTATACGCGCTTTGACTAGCCTGCATTCGTAACTGGTTTTCCTCCTGCTATCTATTACACCAGTTTGTAACAAGTATGAGTGACATCTTCATTTTCAGAGAACTTTCTTGTGAGGAGAACACATCGGGTTTCTAAACCGCGTTTCATGGAATCAGTGTGCACCTAGCGTTGCTTTGTAGAAAACTATGAATATGCTGGTGGATGTTTTGTTCTAGAATGACGCTGCAGATCGTATCATTTCAAAACGGTAACACTTTTATGGTATGCGGCGCAAATGGTTTTCCGGTTCTCACAAAGAAGTGCTTTACTCCCCATTCTTCGTTGAAAACGCGACAATCGGCATCCACTTTCCTCTTCTTAAAAGCCATAAGTGACTTTCGTATATGTAACAGCATCCAAACGAGCCTTACTCATAAAGTGAAATCTCGTAAGTTACCACTCAAGGGACTGGACAAAAGTAGTCAACATATAGAGACGGTCAACATACGGAGGTTCTATGCCAAAACTTAATGTAACCTACTCCCCCGTGGTGAGTAGTATAGTATGAAATTCGGTTCCATGTAAACCCGTATCAAGCACATTAGGCGAGGTATCACGTAAAGGCAAACGCATTTTAACCATAGCGCTATAAGAAATCAAAAATGCAGTGTGCATTTCGCAAGTGAAATCATTTTTTGAAGAAAAGTACAATCTTTGTATGTTTCTCTTATCACCACGGTTCCAGGAAAAACGTTCTCAGCACAAGCCACACTAGTTAGAAGGCTTTGGGATGTTTCCACAGCAAATGATTTCAGTTGAATTAAGAGATGCCTGACATCTAACTTCTTTCGGAGTTTCTTTGAGTTCCAAATCATCGGCACCCAGCCCGTCTACTTCATCAGCATCATCAGGCAGTTGTTCTTCGTTTCCGTAGGGAAGTACCGCGTTAAGTATCTTGAAAAATGGCATCCGGGTTGGTTCAGTGCATGGTACCAAGTCATTATCCATTTCAATAAACTCTTTAAAATCTACTCCGTCGAATTATGCCAATGGAGATAGAATGTCTAATAAGGCGACGGCATCCTGCTCCGAAGTGAGGGCCTTCATTCCTCTGGACCAAGTCATTACTTGGCCACGCCTCCTCTTCAATCCGAAGGAGGATCGAGAGCTCCAAATGGAGGCCAATGAACTGGAATGGACCGCTTGGTTAGACTTGGACTTATCGACAGGAGAGGAGTGACGCTCCGCGTTAGCATGAATTGAAATTAGAAGACAAACGCTCAGCAAAGCATGTTGGGGGAGGGCAAAGGATCGGGGGGTTGAAAACTGGTGGGATAAAAGTGAAGTTGGAAAAGGACCAAAAGGAAAAAAAGCGTAAGGGAAATAAGAAGACGGGAAGGCTTGAGTAGTAGCATCCAAACCCTATCCACCCTGCTCGATGTAGCAGATAGGGCACCGTTGATTATCCTCTACGGTGGCCAGAGCAGCAGAAATTTGTTTGAAGAGAGATTCATTGTATTGTGTGGGCAGGATACTACCAGGTTGCCCAGGCATAGACAGGAGAACGATTAGGGTTCTCAACCAAAGCCTTTGATTCAAAAACTTGACCGCAAGGTAGCGGGGTTGGCGTTGGGATACAAGGAGTCCATTTTAAGGAATAAGGTGACACCCTCAATCCAACCCCCAACCTGGAGGACCGGGAGGCCGTTTGTCTGGCCTCTAACCAATAACTAATCTGGTATGAGTGAGTCTGAGGGTGCAAAAGCACTACCCAGCAGAGCCTAAAGGATCACTGAGGCACAGAAACCATCGCACCACGGGAAGGTCCAGCCTCATTGTATGTGTGTGTACAGGTGAGGGTGGGTGAACGCAAGTCGTTCTTGGTCATTTCGTGGGCGCGGAGCTGTGGGAACCCACATTGATCTGGATAATAAGCGTGCACGTTAACGCTGACGGCCGGGAGAAACAAGCACATACACACAGAGAATATGCTGTAGCCTCAAACGTTCACTGATTTGAAGGTCAGAAGTC